GAAGACATGTTCAACAAGGCTGACAAGGCATACCGGGACCACCGCATCCAGCTTACCAACTGGGATGACTTTGTCCCTACCTTGAACGGCAAGAACGTTGTCCTGGTTCCCCACTGTGAGGGCGACAAGTGCGAAGATGAGGTGAAGGCGAAGAGCGCACGGAGTGCGTTGGGCGATGGCGTTGCGGAAGATAAGCAGGCTCCTGCCATGGGTGCAAAGAGTTTGTGCATTCCTTTTGAGCAGCCCGAGGGTATTGAGCCTGGCAAGACCAAGTGCATCAACCCCGACTGTCAGACTCCCGCCAAGCAGTGGATCTTGTTCGGACGGAGTTACTAGTGGATTGACACCTCAGGAAGTGTATTGTTTCTTCGAGCATTCGGTGGCATGGAGTTTGATGGCGCGGTGTTTGCGGCATGGAGAAGCGGTTGTCGTTACACTGGTCATTCATGATTTTGCAATGTTGATATAGCTTCTAGCATAGAACCCAAAGTTCTGACCTGCCCTGCCCTGTCCTTCGAAGTCGTATCTTCCTCAATGTACAATGTTGTTTTTATATTGACAAACGCGCAGACAGGCAAACGAATGCTAGTGCGTGAATAAGCTGAACCAACGCTCACATACCGCTTGTGAGTGATTGAGTCGCCACTTTCATCAGCTCTTTGCGACACATCACCGCCTCCGATTTTGTGTTGACTCACGTCCACGCCGCTCTGACATTCACTTACTCTCGTCATCCAACTTTGATCCTGAGTTACCCACCAACTCATACACCAAGAGCCCCCCGATCATTCTAACAGAACCTTACCGGTCGCCCAGAATGTGTCACAAACTCCTCCAAGTTTATGCTTGCGGACACCACAAAACGATCTGCACAACACCGTGTCCCCATGCTATCGCTACGGGCCGCCGCATCCCCAGCAACCGCGGAAATGCACCGGATCTGTCGCGCTCAAGTTCCGTTGTGTCTGCTATGGCGCCCTCGTCAACTGGTCCACCAGCGCGGAGAACCGATGTCCAAGATTTGCCTTCACAGCGTGCTCGTGAATCACAGGCTCACCCTTCTCCGCTGAGAGCGGCGGTGCTGGGCAGTCAAGCACAACAACAGCAACAGGGCCGGAGCGGTACTCCAGCATTCCGCTTCATGGCGCCGGGTACAGGACTAGAGGCGGTGGGTGCGGAATCAGGTTATATGCAGAGCCATCCTACTTCCCCGGTGTCAATGTCTTCAACATCCCCAACTCTGAGTCAGCCTTCACCCACTTTCTCCACCACCGGCACCCTAATCGATGCACCTATCTCCGCCTATACGCCCTCATCCTCTACGTTCTTCACGCCTGCCGACCCAGAAGTTGACGATAGGTCAGTACCCTGTCACCACTGCGTCTCGTCCCTCTCTTTCCACGGTCCGATGGCTAACATCTCAACAGTGACGTAGACCCCAACTTCTGCGCTTACCACTTTCCTCGCTACCTCCCTGGACTGAGAGTACCTTGCAAGGGGTGCTATGCGCAACCGCAGTATGCGGATCAACGCGATGCGTGGATGAAGCATTATCGCGAACAACATCCAGCAGACAAAGTTGAGGATATTGAGCACTTAAGTGGAGTAGCTGCAATTATGGACAGATTTGGCTGATAACCATTTTGCCATTGGAAGTGAGACGAATGATAGTCAATAATGGGTATGAATCTGTGGAAAGGCTAAAGCCATTGACTGACTCTGCTCACTTTGGAGATGCTCCTAGATGGGAAGCGAACCTCCAAGAAGAGGATTTGAAAAGTACTGATGAGAGCGAGAACAATTCGATTATCCTACCCTTGCCATGCAGTGCTCGTGCCATTGGTCATTGTCGTCTATATGTGCATCATTCGTGTGTCGTCATTCAATGCCAAAGCATGTCCAAATCGCTACAGCCGCTTGGCAGTCTAGCTGGTGTCCATGTCATCGCCGCCCTTCTTCTCCTTTTCTACTGTCTTCTTGACACCTTCCAGAAAAGCCTTGACTGCATCTCCGCCACCAAGTGGCATGCCTCCACCTCTCATATAGCCTCCGTTTTCGACATCAATGTTCAGTGCCTGGCTGACAGTCGGTAGAGCACCGGTCCTCAGCGCCTCGTTCAGACTGCCTAGTGCTCCCCTCAGCTGGGGTGCCCGCAGGATCCTGCTCAGAACCTCAATTTTCTCGTCCCGACCTAATGTCTGTATGGCCATCTGCGCAGTCTCGGAGTTGGGGTCGATCTGATCGATGTCTTCGACTTCGGCTTCTAGGAGGAAAGGAATTGTCGGTAGTTGCGCACACAGTGCGTCGATGGTCTCGTCGGAAGCGTTCTCAACGGTTGAGAGAGTATGCGTAGGCCAGAGGAACTCGGTAAGGCTAGCGAACGGTTCTGATCCTCTTTGTTGTTGTGAGCTGCCGCCTGCATTGCCGCCTTTGAGCGAGTTCATGAAGTCTTGCACAATGGCAGAGACATCACCTGATCCGGCTCTGTCGACGCGTTAGCGAGATGTTCAAGAGGATAGGCAAAAGCAAAAACGCGAAACGAGCGCCGCGGCGTGGCCAGTGGAAGACGTAGCATGATGCTTATTTTCTATTGTTGTACATGAGCAGCCAGTGCCAATCGCCATGTTTGGATGGTCTTATGCCTCTCCCAAAACGCCGTACCGTGACAGGATATCTTTATAGTTTTGTATAGAGCCGTTGGTAATTTGCACAGCAGCTCGATTCTGTCCGGAAAGGTAGACTGCGCCACGACGCCGAATGCGATACAAATAGATGGAACCTACGCTCGACCACCATCGGCGCCCCCTTCTCGGGACTCTTCGCCTTCATCTCGGATATCACCGCCTGTGGCACCAGCACCTGCGCCTCCGGTGCTACCGTGGCGGTTTCGGCTAGATGGCTCTGCGTCTTCCATGGTCTCATCCTCGTCATTGTTGGATGAGCTCGAGATACCTGCAAGTTCAGCCTGTACATCAATCTCCTCGCCCGTCAGCAGCAAGTCAATGACTTGTCCGATCTTGAGGTCGCGCTCGCTGAACCAGCTCGCGCCGCGCGGGTGCTGCGATTTTGATTGCAACCAGAAGAGATAGCGTTGTGAGCTCGAGCTGAACTTGAGGACGAAGATGCGGCCGTCGGTGGGCGACTTGATGTTCTCGGGGTCATCGATGGAGTCCTTGCCGGTGTAGGGTTGGAAGGAGCCGTCACCGGGGATCATGATGAGGTCGAGGTCCGACTGGTCGAGCGAGCGGTCGCGTGGTCGCCAGCAAAAGTGCACGAATTCTGGATATGTAAGTTGACGAAGCGGCTGAGTAGGTTGCAAACAAACCATCTTCTCCTTGGTATAGGTAGACATAGCCTGGTGTCGGTACTGGCTTGACTGTCTGCTGGTTGCCTTCTCCGCGCTGTGGCTACTGTTAGTGTACGATCTGGAGTGTCAGTTCCCGCGACGCTTACAGTCAGCTCACACTGGCCGGCCTTGAAGGTGATGAGCGGTTGGATAGACATGTCTGCGGTGTGTGTTGGTGTTGGGGCAGTGATGTTCAGCGGCGGTACCGCGAGCATCGCCGCAAGCTGCAAGCTCCACGCGGGTTACGTAACCAACGGAACAACTCTCGGCCCGGTCGCGCGTATCGATTGGACAGCTTGGCACACACTCGAATTCACGAAAATCGATTCCATCGCCAACACCACCGACCAGCACTAACGACCACAGCGAAACGAAATGGCGGCCAAACAAGAGGACACGAAGCCCACCACCCAGAAGTTCTCCAAGGGGGAGAGGTCGATACCGCACCACTCGCAGAAGGCCAGCAAGTACTACCCTGCTGAGGACGTTGCTGTCCCCAAGAAGGTACGTTCGCGATAGACGATGGTTTGCACGGAAGAGAAGGACTGCAGGGGTGCTGGGTGCATTCACTGCGACAGCATACGGCGGGTGTTTGGGTGCAAGGACAAGAATCAAGACATCAATTGGAGCTCCGCTAACTGCGACTCAAGGCCCGCAAGTCTGTCCGCCCTGCGAAGGTCCGCCAGTCTCTCCAGCCCGGTACCGTCGTCATCCTCCTTGCTGGTCGCTTCCGCGGCAAGCGCGTCGTCGTCCTCAAGCACCTTTCCCAGGGTGTCCTCCTTGTTACCGGTCCCTTCAAAGTCAACGGTGTTCCCCTTCGCCGCGTAAACGCCCGATATGTCATCGCTACCTCTACCAGCGTCGACCTGAGCGGCGTAGACGAGAAGGTTGTGGAGAAGTGCAGCCAGGACGGCTACTTCACCAAGGACAAGGCCGCCCACAAGCCGGGTGAGGATGCTTTCTTCAAGCAGGGCGAGAAGCCCGAGGTACGTACACACAATGGAAGTACAATGCGACAATACTGACAAAAGCCACAGAAGAAGGAGACCTCCAAGGACCGCGTCGAGGACCAGAAGGCCGTCGACAAGGCTCTCCTGGCCACCATCAAGAAGGAGGCTCACCTCGCCGACTACCTCGGTGCCAGCTTCAGCCTCCGTAGCTCCGACAGGCCTCACCAGATGGTCTTCTAAGCGACGGATAACGATCGGGCATTCGGCGTTCAGTGCATGGGATGAAAGACGACTTCGGCATACTGCGGCTGTACTAGCGAGAAACAAGACTCGCAGCGGCACGGCAGCCAATTTTTTTCATGGAGGATTCCGACAAGGCATTTACCATAAGACTTTATATGAAGCGAGCGAATCTGAGACGGTCCAAAAGTGAACATTTGGTCTCCGCTTGCGTGATGTCATAGTTGGGCGTTCAATTGGCGCAGTACATACTGGGTGGTAATCGAGTACTGATGCAAGGAATAGAGATACAGACGTTACATTCTTCGACCGATACTGCGCCAACTGCCCACGAACTCCCAGCGACCAGACGTAAGGGTATCAGAAGCGACCGCTAACCAAGGACACTACCACCGAACCGATTGCACCAATGCCGCACGTATACAGACCTCGTTACATGACCCTAGGCTCGCCGCTTGACCTACTTACTTCTTTCCCCTTCCTTTCCTAGCCCTGCCAAACTTCCCCGCCAGTCCGTTCGCCGCTTCCCCCGCGCCATCTATAGCTTTCCCCGCCTTCTCCTCGACGTTGTGCTTCTCCATCTCCGCCTTCAGGTCCTCAACGACATCCTTGCCAATTGTCGTCCCGTGGCACCAGTCCAAAACACCCATGCATCCGTAATTTCCCTCTCCTTCACTCATCATATGCGCATCGGCGCGTCGTGCCATGCCTCGCAGCATGATGGTTGAGGGTAGGACATTGTACCCAGAGTACACGAAGGTCTCTTCTAGACTGAAGATAGCGATCAGGATCAAGTAAGTGAGGATATGCATCCGCAGAGCAATTGCTGGAAGGTATAGAGGTAGGAAGCGGTGCAGGAGGTGGCAGATGGGGTGGTCGTAGTTTGCGGCAAAGGAGTAAGGGATCTTGATGCTGTGGTGCCAGCTCTGATGCAAGTCGGAGAGTGCACCGCCGGTCGGAGAGTGCAGCAGATGCGTGTGTATATAATATTGCAGAACCTACGACATGTCTGTTAGTACATCTTTGTTAGGCAACGCAATCATGGTATCTTACGTTACGAGATAACAGTCCGATAATGCCATGTTTGACCATCGTCCATGGGTTTGGCAGGTGATTCAATCCCCATCGACTGCCTTTGATGAGTAGCAGACTCCTCACCTGCAGTACGTCTGTGATCAAGAACTCAATACCCGCTTGCAACGCCACACTGAGCAGCACATTTGCACAGCTCCACGCAATCACCCTTCTCACTGCGCGTGCGCCACCCTTTTGATTGTTTGGAATACCCCATTGTCCCTGAGACTTGAACTCGATTGCTAGACTTGGTAACCCAATATCGAATAGCAAGAAGATCAGGCTGGGTATGATGTAGAGAGATAGCCGAATTACTAGGGGCGCAACTAGCTCAAGTTGAAGAGGAGAATATGATGCGGCGATTGTCGTCCATGCGACCGAGAGGAAGATGAGGTTTAGGCCTGTCGACCAGGAGGATAGCATAGGAATGGCTAAGAACGAGCCCAGCGGTAGGGCTATAGGCGCAAGGATGGAGGAAAGTAATGCGCCCATGCCGAAAAGAGCCTGAAATAGGTCTGGAGTATACTCTAGTGATGGAAGAGTAGTAAAATGAGTATATGCGCATCGATCATGTGAGGTGGGGGTTCTGCGCGCGGTAGATGTTTGTGGGCTTGCGCTTGATTGCGATGTGAGCGATGACGTAGCGGCGGTGCGCGAACTTGGTTCACGCTGCGTCCGCGACGTAAGCGGGGCGCCCTTGTCTCTCAAGAGCCCATGTGAATGGACCCTGGACACGTCTCATCTTCCCTCCATCAAAGAGCACCGGTAAGAATTTACGCACGAAAGCGATGTATTCCTCAAAGCAAACCTGACCGTGACGCTACGCTCGTGCGATCGGATCGCCCAGATTTACCCTTTGATTATTATTGCACAGCGCTGCCTCCCGCATCAACTTTTCGCCCTCCGCCGCTGCTGCAATCGAAACATTATCCACACCTCCTCCATCGCTAGCACGTTGCGCGACATCTCCATCCACGACTCCTATCCTCTCAGTTTCACTTCTGACCCTCGACCTTCACGCTCTGCGTTCATCCTGCTCCTGCAATCCAAAGTGGCTCCTGATCTCCTCATATTTGATCCTGTACGACTCGGCTTCTTCATATCGTTTCCTCCAGAGCTGTGCCTCTTCCTGAGCTGTCCGCGCTGCTATCTCAGCATCCCGAGCGAGACCCTCCGCAATCATTAGCCGGATGTTGAGATCGAAAAGCTTGTTTCGCAGCCCGGAGCCCTCTCGCTCATCAGCATCGTTGGATCCATCGAGTACCACGATCTGGTCCCCACTAGGACTGGCTGATTGTGAATGTCCAGATCGGGCCCGCAGCTCAAGTGGGGAGGGTAGTGTCCGGGGCGTTTTGGGATCCTCAATTGGCGGCGGACTGGGTGACGGGCTGCTGAATACAGTGTACGATCGGTCTGGAAATGGGTCGTCGGCGATCTGCTCAAAGAGATAGGGAGTCCTCTGGGAACAAAGCGCTAAGCTCAAGTGTCAGTTACTCAGACTTCGTCAACGGCTGATCTTAGACATACGCTGGTGATTTGCTGAAGCTACCGGAGCACGACTAGCTTGTTGTGGATAGAGCGTACCATGTGAGTTCGGAACCGGTGCTGATCTGTCCGCGACTGTGTTTGCAATAGCCTGACATGCGTAAGGAAACCTGGATACGAATCTGTTGAAGACGTCCGATTCGTCGATTACGCCTTTACTCCAACCTTTGGCAAGGAAGTAGTAGCGTAACACGGCATTGAAACACGCAATTTCCGTCTCGGTTTGGTTTGGAGGGACGAAATTGAACGGAAATTTAAACTTCGAAGACGAGGTGTCCTTCTCGGGAGAAGCTAGTGAGCGGACCTGAGGCTCTCCCTTCCGATTCTTGCCAATATATCCGAGCTGTATACGGCTGCCTGCAAGCCACGCGAGGATGTCCGCCGGCTTTCCTGTCTTAGTGTGGGTGCTGCCTATCACGAGGCTCTTGAAGCTGTTGTCGTGGTTGTACCCGCGGACGATGTTGAACTGTACATGGAATGCTCCCGCGTCAGGTAGGTGCTTGAATTGGTCGCGGAAGTCTCGGATTGCCCATGCCTGTACGTTCTCGAGGGTGAGTCCGGTGGGTGCCATGGTGTGGTTATGTGCAATTTGAACGAGTGGGCATGTTCCTACTATAGTTCTTACAGGGCGAAACGAAGCTGTAGAAATTTGCGCCTAAATTGGGCTCATCTTCATCGTGATATGACAACTGAAGATGCCGAAAGAGGTTAGTGACCTCACCGAGGCGCGCCGATGAAAGCGATTGAGGGAGGAGCGATGAGAGGGAAGTAGTGGACGACCCCACTTCATACAACTACGCGAACAGTGAGAGATGATACTTCACTCTAGCATCAGAACTGAAGATTGTGGCAGAATTCTGATTTACTTGTTGTGGAAACATGAGCGTGTTTTGCAGCCCTATCGGTAGGTGGTCTTTAGAACCCTCGAGCTTTGGTTCTTGGGCCAGTCGATTGCCTACTGTGCGATCCAACAACGCTTTCTTCTACATTCCGTGCATCTATTCCTTGCCATTGCGATAATATCCCCTTCTTGTCGCACTTTCCACGTCGCGATGGCACCTTCCAAACATTGAGTAAGCCAGACCGCTATCCTTGCACAGAAGAAGACGTCATCTGCAGCAAGCATTACTCCGACTTTCTGTGCCACCCTCAAAACACAAAGCTGTGGCATATGGCAATCGCCAGGCTCAATGAGCCGAGTCCATAGCGATGCGGCGTTTCTCAAACTCTTCTTGCTTGACCAAAGTCTCTTGCTTTCTCATCTGTGTCTCCAGCTCTTCGACCTTCTCCTCTAGCTTCTTGATGTGAGCCACAGCTGACTCATTCGCGACCCTATGCAGAACTGTGGCGTTTTTTGACTTCATAGCAAACTCGATCATGGTATGCAACTTGCCTCCCAGGCCGCTGTTCTCTTTCTTAAGCTCTTCGTGCTCAGTTGTCAGCCTTTCAACCTTACCTTCGAGTAGAGTAAGGTCGTTGAACAGAACTAACACTGCTTCGAGAGCCGTGTTGGTGCGATCTACCTGGACTGCCTTGAAGAAGAAACATTCATTCCAAAGAGTCTGGTGCCGCTGTTCCATGTCATCCCGCTCCCGAGTAATGGCATCAAGCCGGTCACTCATGACCTTCTCTCTATTCTCTGAAGCAGTCAAGCGTACCTCTAGGGTAGCGAATTTGTCCTCAAGACGCATTGTCTTCTTTTGTCTTACACGCAACTTCTTGATCTCGCGTTGTAGATTGGCGATGTTGGTATCATCGTTGAGGGCGCTGCGCTGCTGGTTCTCGTTCAAGGCACGGCTTGTTGTGTTGTTGTCGTTTGTGTTCCCTTCCTCGCCGGATTGCTCGTGAGCGCCGTTGGAATCTTGAGACATGTCAGAGGACTCAGGAAGTCCAGTGATACGTTGTTCGACAGAGCCCGAAGCTTCTTCTGGGGTATTGCCTATTTACGGTCAATGGTTGTGCCATCGGGAAGAAGAAAAGTTCATTTCTGACTTACGCTCTTCCAACATCTTCTGATGTTGGCGATGACATGCGCGTGCGAAGTTCCATTTGAACATCTGATCATCACATTCTAGAGCCTTTACCACCCCTTTCGCCGCAAGGTAGTATCTGATGGTCGCCTCTATCTCAAGCGCGATCTCGACAGGGGTGGGGCATTGACGGTTACCCAGCGAACACGAAGCGAACGCGTCCAAGAACGTCGGCCCATAATCTTTGAGCCATTTGAGCAAGTCGAACTTGCCGCCAATTTGCTCACCACGGATCGGACAGGCCATCAGCGAAGACTCTTGAATGAATGCAAGCACAGTGATCTCTCCAGTGCCAGGACAGAGCCGCTCGGCGGCCGTGCACGATGGGTCGAAGCTCGTGAATGCGATAGCTTTCAAGATTGTGGATGTCTCAGCAATCTCCAGAAAATAGGTCTCAAGATCGTCCGGGTCAGGCAGTGTCTCGAATTCGACAGGGCAGATGGTCCTCGCCCATTCACGAACCGCCAGAGCATCCTTGAGCTGACACTGAGGCGTTTCAGGAACCAGCATGATAGCACCGGGTAGCGAACGTCGGGTATTCGGTGTAAGAAGGCGATGTTGGACGGCGATGAATATCGTTCAATGTAGTGTCAAGGGCGAGGAGACTGTGTGAGACTAGTAGAATGTGTGGCCGTTTGCACTGCGCGCTCGGTCACCGCTTTTCAACCATTCCGCGCGAGCGCAATGCTGCTTTAGGAAGGGGCGTGTAGAGCAACTAGTCCAAATCTCCATGCCGTATATGCATAATTCGTGATTCCCGTCTTCTTTCTACGTCTTCACTGAGCTCTAATGGGAGGGCATCTTGATAACAGCCTTCGATGTACTGCCACGCTCAGCCACTGCTAGGTCATACTAGTTGGATATCAGTGAAAGCACTTGAATGCTGATAATGCCAGGCATATTGGGGTTCCATACGGGGGCTTAGGTCACGTATGCGGTAACGTCCAGTAAAGATATTGCCGCTGCTCCTACGGAGCAGCCTGAGAACCTCCCGGCTCCTGTTTCGTCTGCCAGTTCCGAGTCGTCTGAGACTACGTCGGCGCCTCCGTGGAACAATTCGTCGTCATCGAGAAGGGCGCGTAGAATGCTCCAGGCTGTCCTTTCGGTAGTATATTGATATGGAAGTCGGGACAGTAGCGAGCTTACGGTATGCCTAGATTCTGTTGCTGATCTCACATGTTCTTGCGTAGGTCTCTGCCATTTTGACCTGAAGGGTGGACTACGAGTGAGGCGGCTCAATCAATAGAGAGATAGACATCCCCAGGTAGTCATAGACTTGGGAAGTAGACTCGCGTGTTTTGGCTTCCGAAGGGGAGAGCGAGAGAGAGAGAGCAAGAGACTGCTATTGCCGGTAAAAGTGACATCGTAGTCTACCTAGGTGATAGTTTACAGACGCGATACTAATCAGGCTATGCTTCGCTCTGCCAGAGCCTATCCTAATTCAAGAGGAGTATTCTCTACCTGGGCGTACCTCGTGGGGAGGATGCAAGGTGCAAAAATATGCACATGATCAAAGTGAGGAAAGAGAAAGAACACCATAGATGCTTGAGAGATGGCGCGCAGCCCAGCAGGCTGATTAACGGCGGGCGATGCCCGCCTGGCTAACTTGTAGCATCTATGAACACGTCGCTTTGTAATGAACACGCCCTACCGGGTTAACACAATGCTGGCGCGCCCTACAAAGTACATTTTAATAGGGGCCGATGCAGTAATTCATTACAAACGGGAAGCGACTGCGACTGCCGCGTCCGAAAGGAAGTCGCGAACTGAGACGATAATGACGTGTGCGGGGAGCGGGGCTGTCAGCTCGCAGATCACTCGGAATTAACGCCGTATCCGCGGGTATTTATCATCAACGGGCATGCCTCTCTTGAAATAGCTTGCTTGAATTGAGCCGACCCTCAGCCCATCTTTTGTGATTCATGACGCTGGCATCACTCACTTTGCGCTCGACGAATCTACTCTCCAGATCGACAACACGACTTGCAGCCATCAATTCACACATTGCTCCGAGAGCATCCACCATTAGAACCATGTCTTCACTCCCAAAGACCATGAAGGCCGTGTACATCGAGAAGACCGGTGGAACAGAAGTCCTGCAGTACAAGACTGATGTACCGGTTCCAGAGCCCAAGGAAGGCGAGGTCCTGGTCAAGAACGAGTTCATCGGCATCAACTACATCGACACGTGAGCACCCCTGTCCACCTGCTCAGAAACCAAGATTTCATGCTAATCTGTGGCCAGCTACTTCCGCTCTGGTGTATACAAGCCACCGCAATTCCCGTATGTTCTCGGTCGGGAAGGCGCTGGAACCGTCGCTTCCGTCGGACCCAACGCACCTTCCGATCTCAAACCTGGTGAACGTGTAGCATACATGGGGCAATCCGCGTACGCAGAGTATACTGCTGCACCAGCGAACTACACAATTCCGCTCCCTGATTCCATCTCCACCAAGACAGCCGCCGCTTCGCTTCTCCAGGCACTAACCGCCGTTACTCTAATCCGTGATGCTTACGAAGTCAAGGAAGGCGACTGGATTCTTGTCACCGCCGCAGCTGGCGGTGTAGGACTATGGCTTTGCCAGTTGCTGAAGGCTGTCGGCGCAAGAGTCATTGCTACAGCTAGCACAGAAGAGAAGAGGAATCTGGCAAAGCAGAACGGCGCAGAGGTGCTGCTGGAATACCACGAGGACAACCGAGACGTTTTCGTGAAGAAAGTCCTAGAGACTACTGGAGGCGAGGGTGTACATGCAGTCTTCGACTCTGTGGGCAAGTCCACCTTTGACAGCTCGTTGTCTGTCGTGAGGAGGAAGGGTACGATGTGCTCGTTTGGAAACGCATCGGGACCAGTTGAGGGTTTCGCTCTTGCGTGAGTCTTTCTTGTACTATTCATGAGAGAAAGTAGCTGACACATCGTCTAGTCGCTTGTCAGCAAAGAACGTCAAGCTCGTCCGCCCTACGCTATTCAACTACATCGCCACTCGCGAAGAACTGCAGACGGCGGCAAAGGAACTGTGGAACTTCATCGAGAAGGACGGACTGAATGTCAAGATTCACGACGTGTATCCATTGAGCGAGATTGTGCGTGCGACTCAGGACATCGAGAGCAGGAAGACCACTGGAAAACTGGTGTTGACACCGTAATTGGCGGGCTCGTGAGAAAGTATCACGAAATGGCTGTATGGAGGGCGTGTGAGAATACTATCAGCTCGCGCTTCCAGGAATCAAACATTTTTCACATCGAATACAAAGATTGGAAGCCTTTCCCCCTGAAACTCAGTTGACGCCATCGTTGTGCACCGTATTCCGCCCGACGCCAAATTCCATGCAATGCATGCTGCAGAAGTCCACTAAACTCCTCATGAAGATAAAGAAAACCCTCAGTCCATATTACCGACCATCTCCTCAAGCTCTACGCGCTGTGAGTGAGCCATTCCCGAGTCCCTGCTCATAAGTACGCTAGCGATTTCGTTGGCATGGCAAGTACATTGCGCGCAACCATCGACACAGCTCACATCAGCTGGCGTACGCAGCTCAGATGAAGTCATCGCTGCAACCAAGGGAGTCAGCTGGCTCCGCTAGTGAATGTTCAGTATGCTGATGGAGATGTTGGGGAGTTGGAGAGTAGGATGACTTACGGTCGTGAACGGCGTAGCTGTCGTGGTGGACATCCTGAGCATCTTCCTGGTGGCCAAGCGATTCCTGGGCGTCGACGAAAGAGTCCTCGCCGTCGTCGGTGGTCTCTTCCTTCTTGACGATATCCTTGGGCTTAGGCTTGGGGATGACCTTGATCTTGTTCTTGCCGACCTTCGCGCGCTTGGGCTTGGTATCTAGGAGCTCATCGTCCTCATCTTCGCCCTCGTTGTCTTGCTCAGGCTTGATCTCGGCTTCCTCATCAGTGGCGGCGATTTTCTTCTTCGGCGATGCACGCTTGCGCTTACTGGCCGGGGTAGTTTGAACGTCGTCCTGATCGTCGCCAGAGGAAGTGGTGGCCTTGCGGGGCTTCTTGACAGTGGACTTCGGAGTACCTTTGGCCTTGGTGGGGGTGTTCTTGACGGGCGAGCGAGGAGTGCCTGCATCGGGAGCGGTGTCGTTGTCCTCGAATACCTTCTTCATGCGAGAATAGCGCTTGGACGCCGCTCCAGAAGTAGTATTGGCCTTGGCTGCGATTTCACTCCAGTTTGGGGGCTAAGACATTATTGTTAGTGGCTGCTGGTTTCTCGAACTATGTGGCTGGACGTGAATTGGTGCTCACCTGAGTTCGCTTATGGTGCTTGACACAAAGCCAGAGGAACTGGTACGTTGTACCTCCGGGAACCTCGTTCCTGTCCATGGACTGCTTAAGACGCGACCATCGCTTTGTCACGGCGCTTTTGTTGAGGTCGAGCGCGGCGGAGACGGCATCCCAATCAATCTACAATGAGTCAGTATACGGGACTTGGATTAAGATGCAAACCAAAAAGGGAGACGATGAGACTTACGACAGGGCTGCCATCGTTGGTTAGGACCAAGTATAGATAATTGATATTCTCTGCTTCGGTAGGCATCTTGGAGGTGGTAGTCGAACAGAATCTTGATGCGGGGAAACTGTTGGCAGATTTGGTATGAGTTGGAGTGTCGTTGTCCCAATCTCACGCGAAATTGTTGAATGTAGGAGTGAGAGAGGCAACTGACAATTGAAGTCAGCTATAGACCCACATTCCCTTGGTGAAGGCGAGATCTCACAAGGCAACGACAACAGGCGACACGCTAACACACTTAGCGCCGTTTTCCAAGCCAACGTAGAGAGATAAGTAGTGAGGAAGAGTCTGAGAGAGTCTTGGTAAGAGTGGTAGGCGGCTGTGGATGAGGTAGTAGCGGTGGGCGTTGACAAAGGAAAGCACATGCTGCTGCGACGATGGACGCCAAACGCCAACGGTCATGTTGAAAATGTTTGCTGTTTGCGAGGCGTGGTGTTCCATTGTTGAACGCAACCCCAATGCTTAAGACACTCCTAAACCTACAGGCTGGTCTTCTTCGCCGTCCTGTTCACTGATTCCATTCCCAACCAACTCAGTGAAATCCAGTCCAACCTCCCTCAGCATCTCAGCATGTTCATGTGCCAATCTCAAGCACTCGTTCCACACATTGCCGCCTTCATCCACGCTACTTAGCTGCCTTTTTAATAGTATGTTGAATTGGTCGATGTGCTCTTTTGACCACTTGACGCACGCGGACATGAGCTGTTGTGGGAAGCACTTCTGATACATGTCGACGGTGTTCTTGATGATGGTGAAATAGATGTAGGAGATCTGGAAGATATAGTCTGGGAGATTGCCTTCGAATATGCATTGCCTGAAAGGGTCAGTGGATGATTTGGACTTTGGTGGAGTGGAGACATACCGCGTGCGAGTTCTGATCAGGTTACCGCGCGCTTCCAGATAGGCTTCTCGTGCGCGGTCTTCGAAGCCTAGTTGGACTACCCAACTCACGTGTTGCCTGACAGAGGTGAACCAGTTGTTGTGCTCTACCATGTGCTTGACCAAAACATTCGCGAGCTTCGCAGCGCGCTCATTGACCTTATAGGTGACGATTGTCTTGGCCATCTCATTGCTTCTAATGTTCTTTGCAAGTGCCTTGAGCCGATCCACTTTCAGGACTGCCTCCTGGAAATGTTGAAGCGCGATCTCAATGTCTAAATCGTCTAGTTGACTTTCTACCCACCGGATATTGCGCTGTTGTCCGTCAATATCAACAAAAGTACTGACTTGTTCGTTGTTGATGCCGTCTGAGAGATTGTCTAACAACTCTGTCCTGTTCATGAAAGCCGGGTCGCGTGAAAGAAGGTGGCTATAGGAGTCTTGCGTTCGGTCTTTCTCCTGTACGTCCGCTTCTTGGCTCTTGCGCAGGTCATCCTTGGTCTTGCGAAAAGTAGCCACGAAAGCGGACTTGTCACCACTGTCTTCCTTCTTGGTGTCGTATGTGAAAGATTCGGAGCCAGCGCGTATGATGATGCGCTCTTCCGGCGTCCTAATCACCTGGGTATCTTGTAGGGGAAAACATCGCTGGGCAGTAAACTCCATATTCGCTCTGTTGCCGTCACGCTGTCCGGGAACATCGTTGCGTGCCTTTTTCTCTGATGCGATAAGGAGATGATCATTCAGTAGTAGTAGTCTCACTCTTCGTCTTGCCTTGAGCGTTGCAGAGTCCAGTTCGAACCATCTCGTTGACTTCCACACGATATATCGTCCGGGGATAGGTGGTAGATACTTTTGCGAGCCCTCAACGTCCCTGTAAAGCTGCTGTAGCTGGCCTGCGCGCAATTGATTGAGATCTCCGATCGAACTTCGGTTAGCTCTTCGCGAGCTCGCGGTGTCATTGGCGGCACCCGTAGCTGATGCTGTCTGCTCCAGGGTAGTTGTCAGGTCAGACATCAACTGACGAAGCGTCCGCATTTCGCCCTTGAGCTTCTCTGCTTCTTTACTGATCTTGATAAACTGTGTGCGGTTTTGGTATACGTTGTGCTGGAGGTCGAGCGATGTACGATGCTTTGTCTTGCGCAGCTCGTCCTGGTAGCGGCTGATGTCTGCTTCAGAGGCGTCTGCGAGGATAGTTGATACATCTGTGCGAGTCAGCATGTAGGCAACCAAATCACCATATGTTGGCCTTACATCGCTCTACTTCCAGGTTGGGATCCCGCAATGCGCGCGGGTCGACTTGCAGGACCCGTCCATTGGAGCTTCCGGGCGGCCGTCCCTCTCTCGTCTGGCTCTTCTCTCTGTACTGAACAGGCATTTGTGGCATCTGCGGCATAGGCTCGCCATTCCCGAAGTCGCTAGGCAGCGTCGTGATCTTCTGGGAGTACCTCCTCTTGACGAGATCCGCCGTTTTATCTGGCCGCTGCGGTCTTGGCTGTGATGGAGGGCCATCCTGTCTGGTCCTCGATCGGCTGGATTCGTTCGAAGGGCGCCCGGAGCTTGGGAGTGAAGCGGCGGCGGCAGCAGCGACGCCTGCGGGCATGGGCGCACTAATCTGTCGCGGCGCGCTGATGGTGGGCGGCGGCGCGTTCTTCTTGCTCTTGTCCCCCCGCTTCTTGCGGAGGGAGATGCCCTTCTGTTTCTCTGACATCTTGCCTGCAAGATCCACCGGATATTGTGGTGTAGGAGCGCAGCACTTTATACAAGGATGAAACGGAACAGGTGCCCTAGAGCCTACATCAGCATGAGAACGAAAGCTAGCCAACCCCAACGCAATGTAGGCTTCCAGGTCATTTACCTCTAACACTCGTCCAATTCCTGCGTCAAGTGGGCCGGGAGTGGAGTTGTGGTCAGTGGTAGCGAGGGCAGCTGCGCCATGAGTGCGCGTCCGTGGATGTTGACAGGTACTCGTAGAGCCCCGTCATGCGTGGAGCCGCGGTCTCGAGTGTGAGCTCGGGCCCACTTTGGTGAATCGTGCCTTCCCTGAACACTGAGAAAAAGTTAAACACCACACCACATCACCGCCATCACCTGCCGCCAATTCAAAGGGCTCCAGCTGCTCCTTCCCCGCCTGATTGCGCTTTTCACTCCCACGAATCGCACCACCATCATGTCCAACTCGTCGTTAAAACCATCGACCATTGCGGCCATTAGCGCCGGCACCATCGTCACAGGCCTTCTCGCATACGCCGCCTACTTCGACTACAAGCGACGAAATGACCCCGGCTTCCGCAAGCAGCTCAAGAAGGAGTCGAAGCGAACAGAGCGGGCGGCCAAGGAGGAGGCCGAGGCACAGGGCGCCGAGCAGAAGAAGGCGATCCGAGAGGCGGTAGAGCGGGCAAACGAGGAGGGCTTCCCCAAGGACCCCGAGGAGGTCGAGGCGTACTTTATGCAAGAGGTTGCGCAGGGAGAAGGAATGGTGCAGAAGGGTATGGTTATGTTTGGCCTCTTGGTGGGACGTGGTGCTAATTGTTTGCCAGGTGCGGACAACGTCGAGGCGGCGCTATGCTTCTACCGCGCATTGAAGGTCTACCCCAACCCGCGGGAATTGATCAACATCTACGACAAGACCGTTCCCAAGGTACGTTGCTGCTCTTCGCCATGAATTGGCGACGGCCCGCTAACACCCGACAGCCCGTCCTCGACATTCTCGCCGAGATGATCGCAGTTGACACGTCAATCCCCGTCGGCGGCAGCAAGACGCCGTCTGAGGCTGGCTCGGCAGGCGACCTCGAGTAAAACACTGCGACGATAGTACTTCGATAAATTCAGCAAGCATTCTTGGACCCCGCTCCACCTGATAACGGCCCCTGTAATATTCTTGTATATGGATCAGCATCGGCGCAGTCGGTCAATTCTACGGCCGGCGTTCTGGTTGAGCATGATTCATCTGGCTGGGGCGGCGTTGGGATAGATGCGGGCTTCCAATGCATACAATCCAAACAGCACTCGGCATCTCTCCATTGACGTCATGCAGTGGTACGCATGGGTACGCACTGGTATACTACAGATTACGTTTCCGACGTTAAGATGCATGCGGCCCATGCCCGAACGCCTTGCTGACAATGACTTTCTCAGACTTGCAAAACATCATCCCAAATAATTACAGTACGCCCTTAAGCGAATGAACCGAAGTTGATTACCAAACGGCTATGTCTTGTTTAACATGAGCACGAGTTTTCTTGCGGTGGCTGGCTGGGGTTGATGTTCACGTCGATCACTAGATCTTGGATTAGCATGGTGTTGACCGCAACAATGTGTGCATGGAGAATTACTCTGACTCTGCCCTTGTTGGCCTTCGCCCTCCATGCCCGGTAACGCCTGCGCAATTCTCTTGAACAGTGCCTTTACGTTGTGTCCGACCTTCGCGCTCGTCTCGATGAACATCAAGTTGTTCTTCTTGGCTTCCTCTTCACCCTGCGCCGTTGTAACCTCGCGCTTGTCGTTCAAGTCGGTCTTGTTGCCCACGAGCACAATAATGACATCGTTGCCGCGCTCGCCTCGGACATCGTCTACCCATTTTCTTGTGTTTTCAAACGTCTTCTTGTTTGTGATGTCGTATACAACCACGGCTACGCTAGAATCGCGGATGTAGGAGGGAATCAGGGAGCGGAATCGTTCCTGGCCGGCGGTATCCCAGAGCTGCAAGCGGACAGTCCGATCTTCGAGGTACATGGTCTGCGGCGAAGATTAGATGCTGCACTGGATTGCCATATCTATGGCGGCTTTGCAGCGAGCATACCTTGCTTAGAAAGTCGATGCCGATGGTGGCTTGGTAGGTGTTGTCGAACGAGTCGTACATGAAGCGGGTAATTAGAGACGTCTTTCCCACTGCGAAGGTAGATTAGCACGTGTGTCGCAAACCGCTATATCTGCGATAGTATGCATACCACTTTGTTCGCCCAGGAATACGAGCCTGCAGCCGGTTAGTATACGAAGTTGGTCTCCGCCGCGGAGGACAGCTCACTTGAACTTCTTGAGCGGGTTTGAGTAGCCCGACTGCGCCATTGTGACTGAAGGTTGTAGATTTTAAGAAAATCAAAAGTCTCGAAATGTGTTATCGCAGAGGATCAGAAGCAATATCCCGGCCGTGTGTCTTGGTGGGGTGTCGTGTCTGAATAGGAGTGTCGGTCGAATCTGGAGGCCTGGCACCCTGGCGGCCAACACCGACTACCGAGTGCAGCAGGGGTCCCGGTGGGTCCAGCCCGTGCGCCGCTTTGCTGGTAGGAATTTTGGGTCGAACTTTTTGCGACAACGAACAACCCCACAACGACTTCGAGCACAGCAACCGTAAGACACCATGGCCGACACCGAAGCAGCGCCAGCGCAATACAAACAGTCGAGTCGCAAAGGCAAGAAGGCTTGGCGCAAGAATGTCGATGTCACAGAGATTCAATCCGGCCTAGAAGATGTGCGCGACCAGATCATTCAAGGGCATGTTCCAATCACAATACACAGACAATGCATCACTAATACCGCTACAGTGGTGTCATCTCTGAGAAGACCGCAGACGAACTTTTCGCCGTCGATGTCCTTGGATCGGCTGAGATCCAGAAAGAGGTCGCGAAACGACACAAGCCTCTCAAGGTCGACGAGATCCTCGCTAAGCGCTCTGCCGTTCCCGCCGTATCCACCCGGAAGCGACTCTCGGAAATCACCGACGATGGCAAGAGGAAGAAGGCAAAGGTATCAGGCAAAGAATACGACAGGCTGAGGGCGATTGCATACGGAGGCGAGCAGACCAAGAAGGACGTCGTACAGACTGGCGACGCCGCTTACGACCCATGGGCAGTTCAAGAGGTCAAGGAGGATCCTCGTTTCTCATACCTTGAGAAGAAGAAGCCCAAGGTCGAGCCGAAAACCTTGAAGCACGCACCCATCTCGCAGGCAAAGACCGGCAAGGCCATTCCCTCAGTCCGCAAACCTACCGGTGGAAAGTCGTACAACCCCCTGCTGGAAGACTGGCAAAACGAGCTCATGCGCGAATCCGACAAGATTGTCGAGGTTGAGAAGAAGCGCCTGCAAGAGGCCCGCGAAGAGGCCGAGCTTATGGAGAGAGCAGCTGCTGAGACAGAATCTGACTCAGGCGAGGAGAGCGTGTGGGAGAGCGAATGGGAAGGTTTCAGTGACAATGAAGATAAGCAAGCCAAGAAGAAGAGGCCAGAGAGGAAGTCGCTGTCACAACGGAACAAGATCAAGAGGAGAAAGGACGCGCAAAGAAAAGCGGTCCACGATGCAAAGATGAAGGCCAAGGAGCAACAGGTCCAGGAGATCAAGAGATTAGCCAAGAGCGTAGAGGAGAAGGAGAAGGCGAGAGCCGCTGTGAAACAAGCTCTTGAACAGAGGAATGCAGAGCTCGCGGATGAGGAGGACGATGGCGAAGAATTGGAGCTGAGGAAGAAGCAATTCGGCAAGGCACCGTAAGTACCTATCCACGTTTCACACATCGAACAACTCCTAATCGATTACAGTCTACCAGAGGCCCCGCTCGAAGTCGTTTTACCAGACGAGCTCCGCGACTCTCTGCGTCTTCTCAAACCAGAGGGCAATCTGCTCAAGGACCGCTTCAGGACTTTCATGCTCCAGGGCAAGGTCGAAGCCAGAAGACAGATCCCATACGCCAAGCAGAAGAAGTACCACGTGTCGGAGAAGTGGAGCTACAAGGACTGGCAATTGCCCAAATAGACAGATATGGACCGACGGGCCAGTACCGACACCCGTGTCGATCGGCGAATGCACTTCTTTTACGACCACTATAATTTTGTCTCGCTTGCAGTTATCTGGTGACTCCCTAACTCACTCACAATGGTAGTTGGTTGGGCACAGACCGTTGCATCCCCCGCAAGGCGTGAGCTACTTGTCATAGGACAGGTCAAGGTCGAATTTCCATCAGCGTAAGCTACGAACGGTATCAAGTGTATGTTCCTTGTAACGCTTGTCTCATCCTGACCTTGCCGATTTGTACCACATGCAACGAAAAGTCAGGGCGCGCCTTCCCGTCCTAGCCTCACTGTTATAGTGGGCCACCTAAGCATTCTATCAGTGAAGAGGCAGAGATTGTGTCACCAGCAGGCGTGTTTGCTACATCGAGACGTTATCTGCTCGATTTGTATTAGCTTACGGGTAGAGACATGCTCTCACCTCCTCCGTCTTCGCCCTCGACCAATGCTCCCTCACTCCCCATCTCTGCTCGCACGACCCATTCAGACAGAAAGACCCAGTCACGACGCAACAGCATGGCAATCCAAGGTGGGTCGCCCTCTTTCCTGCTCATGTCACTTTACTGACCTTCAGCAGGTCCTTTCCGATGCTCGAACTGCAATGTTATCGAAGAACCCGCCAATCCTCTCAAGCGCTGCGGCGGCTGCAAGGTGCTCCGTTACTGCTCTCTATCTTGCCAGAAGGCGCATTGGAAAGATGTCCACAAGCACCGGTGCAACAAACCTCGTAACCACAAGGATGAGAACTGGCCTGAACAACATATGCCTGCACGCATCTACCCGCACAACACTCACCTCAGTATTACGTCCGCGGATTCATATGATGGGGTTATGCCCGGTCTTATCAAACAAGATGAGCCTATGACAATTCACGAGCAGAAAGCTTCCGCTTCTGACAAGATTCTACTGAACAAAGACGAGCCGACAACCTACAAACTCCTCATCGAGAGCTTCCGCGCTTGGGATGAGACAAAACGTTGCAGCCTCGGGACTATGATAGACCCACGCGACTCGTATATGGACGCCACCGTCAAGTACAACACCGGCTACCTCTTCCAAGGACTACTTAAGCACATCGCCAATAGCGAGAAGACTGCGGGGATCCTTCCTGCATGGTGGAGTGCAGACAAAAGAGACGCATGCATCGAAGTCGCAAAAGAGATGTATCACTGGGATGACCTTCCTGAGGCAGGCATTCCCAAGGAGGTGAACGAGTGGCGCCGGTATGGGGGCCCGTCTCTGAGATCGCCTTTGCGTGCGCTGGGCATGAAGATTGAGGGGATCGATACAATGGAGGCGGTAAAGCTGGGATACTACAAAGTAAAGAAATTGCCGGACGGACGCATCGTTATCCATAACGAGACCGATTTGAGTCACCTGGAATGAGTGGTTCTGCAACCATCATGTACTCTGAGATCGATTATGGGGTGTCGGTAGTGCGCAAGGGGTTCATATCACGGCTGCGAACAAATGTAACTAAAGAGAAGTTGAAATTCCGTCTTCAAAATGTCGAGTCTAGTTTGCAAAGTGATCAAGTGAAGGCAGAAGGACATGACGGCAAAGCAGTACCCGGTATCCTGGATTGTGGGGTATGCAGCGCACGGACTTCTACGCGTCATCTCACGAGCGAGACAGCTTTGACACTTTGAACTACGCGACTTGTCAGCGGTGACGAGCTTGTGCCTTGACCAATTACTCTTATTCTCGATGTAATCTCTTAGTCCCCAATGCGGCTCATTCCCGACAGACAAACCTAAGCATGCCATCCTCCTCCCGCCGCACTCAGCACGCACCAGCATCCAACAGCGCCGACGAAAGGTTCCCCAAGTTCACGCCCTCTCCACGCTCCTCACATTCCTCCGATGGCCTGTCCATGATACACGAGCCGAACTCTTTCGAACTTCGCACGATTACTCCACGAGATGAACCCGCATCGAAAGAGGAGCTGGGAGAGGAAGACGAGGGCTTCCTTCCTAGTATACGGCGCGCCTCTTTGGACTCTGTGCAGAGCTATGAGTTGTATACCCCAGATGAAGATCGCACAGTGCTCAAGAAGCTTGATCGGCGGCTAGTCGCGTTCATGGCCTTGTTGTACATGTTGAGCTTCTTGGATCGGTCGAGTGAGTACTTTCTACGCCTGGAAGACTCGTAGGGGAGATATGTACGTCAGATGTGCGTAAAGCAGGTCTGGTAGGCTCTGCGACACTTGCTGATGAACTTGGTAGATATTGGCAATGCGCGCATAGCTGGTCTGGCGGACGACCTGAAGCTCAGCTCCACGCAGTATGAGTGGTTACTGTGGGCGTTCTATATCACATACATTCTTTTCGAATGGATGACACTACTGTAGGTAGTCTTCAGTTACAAAGGTCGCATAGCTAATTTCGATAGGTATCGAATCGTGCCGCCGCATATCTATATATCTCTATGCATCCTTTCTTGGGGCATAGTTGCGTCACTCCAGGCAGTAGCGACATCCTTCGGATTCCTTCTTGTGCTGCGAGCACTTCTCGGCATCAGCGAAGCAGCGTTCGGACCTGGCGTACCGTTCTACCTATCATTCTTCTTCCGCCGATCCGAGCTCGCCTTTCGAACCGGACTCTTCATCAGCGCCAGCCCCCTTTCAGCATCGTTTGCCGGAGCGCTGGCCTACGTTATTACCAAAGTCGGCGAACATGGCCCGCTTAGTCCTTGGAGACTACTCTTTCTTCTGGAAGGGTTCCCTTCCGTATTGATTGCCGTCTGGGCATGGGACTTTGTACCAGATGGACCAGGACTGGCAAAGTGGCTAAGTCCCCGACAGCGCGAGGTTGCAGTAATGAGGCTGAGGTCAGAAAAGGAGAGCGAAGATGAAGACCAAGAAGAGAAGTACCAGGGTGGACGAAGAAGAGGACGTGTGGATTTCCACGAAGTACTACAAACCCTAAAGGATCCGAAGTCTTACCTGACAGCACTCATGTTCTTCTCGTGTAACGTGGCTTTCAGTTCCATGCCGGTGTTCCTACCGACTGTAATCCGAGATATGGGCTGGGAGTCCATCACGGCCCAAGGACTTTCAGCCCCGCCATACCTCTTCGCTTTTGTCGTCGTCCTCACGACTGCATATTACTCCGATCGATTACAATCACGCTCGACGTTCATCATGCTTCACTCTCTCCTGGCAACGATCGGGTACGGTACCATTGCCATTTCCGGATACCTACAGTCTGACAACACAATGATCCGCTACATCGCACTCTATCCTGCCGCCGCAGGCTTCTTTAGCGCTATCACGATCATCATTACATGGACACTCAACAACCAAGAAAGCGATAGTAAGAAGGGCACCGGTATGGCTCTCTTGAACATCATTGGTCAGATGGGCCCACTAGTTGGCACGAGCATCTTCCCAGATGACGACGGTCCTTATTACGTCAAGGGTATGAGTATATGTGCTGGATTCATGCTTCTCGTCGGCATCCTCGCTGCAGTCCTGAGGTGGGTGCTGATAAGAGAGAATCGAAAGCTCAATAATGGTCGCAGTGCAGAGTATGCTGGTGTGCCGCTAGATGAGGGTGGGAGCATGAGAAGAGAAAGGAAGAAGTTTACTTTCATGTTGTAGATGGGCAGCGCACCTACGATTGTCATCTACTTTATAATCACACCCAGAATCTAGGAGATTATCTACTTCAAGACGGACATTTCCTATATTTGACCACCATCATATAAAGGCGCAAAGCGCCTATTTAGTTACTTCGCTATTCGATTGAATCCAGACCAAGGAGTCGCACTGCTTTCGCGCCACAGGCACCGGTTCAAGTCAACCTCGTTATAGGCGGAGAATCTGGTAAGGGAATCGCGGCAGGGTTTAGTGACCTCATCACCGGTGTAGGCGGGAAAGGCGCAAAAGGCCAAGTCGATGGGGTAGCTTCCGAATCGTGCTGCTGCGGAGAATTTCGTGACACACCCGATTGGACATTCGGTGGCGGTGGATGGGTGTAAGAAGGCATTCGCATCTGCCATGGTATCATTGGTTGTGGATGGAATGGTAGAAGGTGACCTCCGCCGCCCTGTCCATGCCAAGTATGATTATAGGAACGTGGCGGTTGTCGAGACGGTCGAGACGGTCGAGATGATCGAGATCCATGGTGACAGCAGTAGCACATAATAATTCCAATGACAATGCATGGGATAAACACGGCGATGAGAATGATACCTGCTTTGTCTCTTTCGCTCATGATGGAGTCGAGTACTTGCACCCTGCCACTTGAAAATGAGATGAGACAAATTGGAGAGCCCAAAGCAAATGTGCGCCCTCAACACGAGCATGTAAGACGAGTTATGGCTACATTGATTGCAATGAGTGTTTACTGACAACGCATCGAGAGTTCGAACGGTCTTGATAGGCCATAACCCGTTACCATCGCATCTGAAAACACATCCTCTGTGAGCGTTTAGTACTTCATCCGTTCGATGCAGTGTGTCGCAAGCCTGGAACATAATTCAACGCCACCCACACTAGAAAGTGAAAGATCTCCTCGGCCTGCTTGGCCTTCGCGCCTGCTCCACCATCTCCGTTTCCTGCGGTCTGATCATCTCTGGCGTGATATCCAAGCCATCGTACATCTCATTCAGCAGATGCTGTTCTCTTGTTCGTCTTCTAGAAGGTACGTATCTTGTATTGGCAGCGTGTACTCTTGGAGCGTATCGAGGAAGGCCGAAGTTGTATCTGTATGACGCATATCTCTTGGACCGGGTCTTGAAAGGTTGCTTGAAACGTGGATTGTAATATGCTGGCTCGAATGGCGGGGATGTATAACCAGTCCAGTCCGTATCCATTGTACATGATCGCGTTCGCCTTGGATGCTTTCTACCACGTTGAATGTGACAGTGGCAACGAAGACATAGAGCGGCAATGGCTATGATCAGGGGGACGAACACAGCTACGAAGATGACGCCTATGAGATCTCTGTCGTTCATCGCTTACGTTCGATGTGTAGCAAAGCTCAAACGGTGACGGTAGGACATTGACCACTGGTGTTATAACAAGAAGCCACAAAATGGCAGTTATACAACCAAGTCTATGGTCAGGTTTGTCAATGTACTCGTGTCGTTTGGTAAACCGGACATTCGTTGTGATGTGCAAACCCTGGGCTTGTTGACGCATCTGTTACGGAACGACAGATTTGTTGGGAAAACATCACAATGTTTGTGACAGACAATTGATGCTAACGTGCGTAGGGACTGCCAAGTTGAAATGTCAGTAAAGAAATTGACTATCTAAACTAATTATATCGTACAAACTTAATCGAGAACACTGAGCGCCTACCGCATAGACAGCTTTGTGGGCAAGCCTCATTAACCTTAGACGGCAAGACCTAGTGCAGCGCCCGAAGCGTTTGCTCGACTGCGATACCCAAGCCTCCAACACCCAAAACAGTCCACAACCATTTGTTGCTTAGCTCATCTACGCTCGGCCAGAAAGCATTCTTATCCGCTCGGAACTTCTCCAATTCGCGGAACTTCTCGGGGTGAGATGCGGAGTATCGGCGTTCTTGGTGTTTCTCTTTCTCGGCGTCGCCGCCAAAGAAGCGGAGGAAGGCGTAATTCGCGGCGGGGCCTAGGAGTTCGATAGGGGCAAGCATGTCTGAGCCGTAAAGCATGACGATGAAGGAGATGTGTACGAGGGCGTCACCGAGGTAGCTATACGACATTAGCGAATGGCATGGACTCTGGAACAGGGGTACATACTTGGGGTTGCGGACAATGCTCCATACTCCTTCGCGCATGATGCCCTTATTGCCTTCGGCCTTGAACTGATCTAGCTGGTAGTCTGCAAGTGTCTCCATCGCCAATCCTGAAGAGAACAAGCCGACAGCAAACATCTGAACAAAGGGGTGATAGCCTGTCATGACAGCACCCTCGTGTCGGAATGGTGCGGTAAACGGCAGACTGATGAGCATCTGGAAGAAGGCCTCGGGTATGAAGACTTTGAACAACGCGCTGTTCCAGAAGCCCTCCTCCTTCTTGACTTCGGCATATCGTGGGTCGTCCTCGCCTCGTTGGATGGAACGATTAACGATGCGGTAAAAGAGACGTCCTCCCCATAATGTAACGCCCGTAAGGATAACACGCTCGTGCCATGATAGACGACTGAACGCTTGCGAGACGGTGTAGCCTTGAGCAAGACGGCGTCCAACGGCAGACCACCAGGCGTTCACGACCTGACCACTGGGCCAAAGCCAGTCCTTGGCTTCGACGCGGTTTGTGTATCGCGCAGCTCCGTACGCAATGATGGCCAAGCCAGAATGCAGGGTGAGTGATGGGACAAGCGTGTCTTTCAGGATGCCTACATCGAAAAGTGAAGCATTGTGGACATGGACCTTGGAATGAGTCGTATCCACATAAGCCGCAGGTACTGAGCCCGCTGAGCGGTTGGTGGCGGGTCTTGGGCTGCTTCCCGAGCCGGGCTGCAGGTAGAAGTCGTGAGGTTTCTGTTCAGCAACTTGGACGCGAACGTCCGGAGGACGCGTTGGGTCGCTCGACGATGAGCTGAACCAGCCAGACGCCATTGTACGAGCAGTGTCTGTCAAACAAAGGGGTGTGAGCTGAGGTTGCGCGAACTGTCACGAGCAGACGGCTTTAACGCTCTCGCTGCTGGAGCTTTCCCCGCATTCGAACGGAGGCAGGCGCGTGTTGGCCTGCATCTCATTCGCCCGGTTGCAGGTCGAATTTCATCCGTGAATGAAGTAATCCACTTTGGCCCAATGATGTGGTAATGTTTAATCAGCCAGCCGGGCTGTGTGCAGTGGTGTGAGGTTTGTCGCGTCCTGTTTGCGTGGTGAAATTGGATTCGCGTGACGAAAGTCCGTGATGTCATCAAGGCCCATGCTTCAACGCCAGTGAGGCCCACATGTTTGACTACTAGGCGCGGCAAGTGCACGCAAAAATGCCCCTCACGCCGAGATGCTATCGTGATACTCGAGCAAAGAACATATAGGAAACACCAACAAGTGACACTGCTTCGATTGTCTTGATTTCAGTCATGTCATCTAACAAGCCCCATGCGTTCAACCCGGAAAACGTACCGGAACCTCCACCGACATACAACCAAGTCTGCATCACTCCAATAGTGCCGTCATCCAAATTGATCACTCTTGCTGGTCAAACGGGCCTTCAAAAAGATCATACCATCCCATCCGACATTAAAGAGCAGGCAAAGGGCGCTTATGATAGCATTCACAAGTGCTTGGCGGCGGCTGGAGCCACACCACGAGACATTGTACGCTATGAATCTTGATTGAGCACTTTCAAGGCAGTGTTGGCCATGCCACTAACTTTGATGTAATCAGGTGCATGTTCGACATTATATCGTCAAGGAGACCGGCAACCCGGAGCAGGATCGAAAGGATGTAGTAGATCGTGGCTGGGGAGATATCTGGATCGAATTTATGGACAATGAGGCGGATGGGCATAGACCACCTGATACGGTTGTCGGTGTTGCAAGTCTGGCGAAGAAGGAACTGTTGTATGAGTGTGAAGTTACCGCTATGATTAGCTAGGCGCTGTCTTGACATGTCATCCATGGACGCCAGACTCAGCACACAGCGGAGCTAACGCCAACGAAGTCAGCGAAGAGCACGAGTGTCCACATCATTGGTACTTTGCAATAATCCAAGTTTGAATTAGGCGCAGACGACATCGTTGCGCCCATAAGGTTCACCGCAGAACAGCTGGGATCTAAAGCTGTTCAAGGAGAATGCATTGGAATGCGTGCACCCTGTGAGAAGAAATAGTCGAGAAAGACCTGGTAGTGAAGGCGCAGTAACAATAGCGCCTGGAAGAGATACCGGACCACGAACGCACAGATGGAGGGCGACCCTCAGAGGATGAGCTGGAGGCAGTGCTTGCATGACATCATGCCTATTGTCCTAGAGACGGACCCGAGGATGAAGACAGACGGGAGGTCTTTGAATGACTTCCGAAGATAAGCAGAGTCTGGTGTGCGAGGTTATACGCGCCGTCGGCGTGTTCTGGAAGTGGTAACAAACTGACAGCCGTTGCAGGCGTATCGCGGGGCACGATCGGCTGTACCTGCCATTTAGGGCTTAATGCAACTGGTCGCGGGCATCACCACCGGCTTGCAATGGAGATAAGCACGTTACTTAGGTATATTGTTAATTGAGGTAGCTTTGCTCACCTTTTGCTTGTAATTCAATCTCTCTTGTTCACGATGGCACCTAAATCGTTGTTGTTACTAGCATCTTCCCTCAGGCTCTTCGCAAGCGCTCGCGATGTTACCTTTCCACCAATTTCTGGCTATCCGTCGCAGCAGATTATTGCTCATGGCAACCTTGAAAGGGACATCACCCAAGCAAAGTTTGCAGGGCTGATGACATACGCCAATTTGCCGTATGTGCACTGTTTAGCAGCAGAAGGCCAGGATGTGGAGCCCTTCGACATCGCAATTCTTGGTGCGCCGTTTGACACTGTAGGTCATGTACATTGTGTGCGCGAGACACCGCATCGGAGTCGGGCACATCGCAACAGCCAAGGTTAACAACGGGCAGGGCGTTACGGCACGGCCTGGAGCGCGCTTCGGCCCGAGTGGCATCCGGCAGGGCTCAAGTCGGATATCGCCAGACGCTGCTTGGTCAATATATACAGGTATGTCGTATTATCATGAGGGTGCGCGTATGGGCGTTCATCCCGCAAGCACGGACTTAGAGCGTGGTTCAAAACAAAGCAACAACGAGCGGCACTCGTTACACCACGTCATCTTGGCAAGTTGTGTTCTCGAGGCGTCCATTCGTGCGCTAGAATTTGTCCTGTGTACCCTAATCTTGGTTGCAGTTCTTGTTGTCTTGAAGATGCTGCTCCGTTCGCTCCTGCATGAAGCCAACATTGCATCGAGAGACACTAATCATTGTGACGAAGCGACTTCGTAACCTAGTGACTGACGGGGCTCAGGCGAGAACGTCTTCGCGAATTGGGCAAAAGTTATCGACTGTGGCGACGCTCCTTTAACCTTTTTGGTAAGACACTGAAGGAACGACCAAGGAAGACTATAAATAACGCACCTGGAAGGATAACACTGCGGCCTTGAAGCAGCTTGATAAGGCGCACAAGGTTGGTGAACGCACGAAATGACTGGTTCAAATGTCTGACGACCATCGCCAAGATGGTGTCCTCAAGAGCGACCAACTCGAGCGAGCGCACGACACCAAAGATTGTGACGCTAGGTGGTGATCATACCACAACCTTATCGGCCCTTCGATCGACTCATCATCACTGGGGGCCGGTGAGCGTAATACACTTCGACAGTCACATCGGTAGGCTCGCGGCTCGTTTTGTTGAGCTTCGCTGACGGCTGCGTAGACACCTGGGACCCAGAAGTACTAGGTAAGCCGAAGTGCTCACCGATCTGATCAGAAACTGACATAGTAAAGGCGGAGGTATCTCCCATTATGCGTGAGTCCGAATATCAGAACGTTCCCTGCATATCGCTGATACAGTACGACAGTGGTGTCAACCATGGAACATTCTTGCACATTGCTCATGAGGAGGGCTTGATCCGGAATACTAGTATACACGCGGGCATCCGAGCTCCTGTAGTACGGCCGAAAGGTGATGTGCGCAACGACCTTCGATGTGGTTTTGAGATGGTCAAGGCCCGGGCAATCGATCGATTGGGTATAGCTGGAATTATCGACAAGCTCAAATCTCGCGTCGCTGGAACGAAGGTCTACATCAGTGTCGACATAGACGTACTCGATCCGGCATTCGCACCTGGTAAGTCGTCAAACAAAACATAACAAGGACGATCATCTCAGACCCAGCATCGTTAACGTCCACTCTTGAAATACTCTGCAACATTGTGACTGACACATGCAAATAGCTACGGGAACTGCCGAAGTCGGTGGATGGAGCACACGAGAGCTTTTATCCATTCTAGACGGTCTCGAAGGACTAGACGTCGTTGGGGCAGATGTTGGTACGTATTTTCCGAGCCCCGTTGACTTATTAGTAAGAGCACTAGAAGCTGACTGAATGTACTCGCCGCAGTGGAAGTGGCTCCCATTTACGATAACCCGGGTGAAACCACCGTATTGGCCGCTGCAGAGGTCGTTCACTCTCTAATTGCTTTGATGGTGAAGTCGCCATCTTAGCGATGATACCATGATAACTCAATGGGGGTTGTGACACGGGTAGAAGTCAGGTGGGTTCGTAGGCAGAACGATCTCTGGCTGTGTCGTTTTGCTGGGTATCGGGGCAGCTTAGCAGGCACACTATCAGCCATCGTACTTCACCATGCTCGACACGGTGCCTACCATCTCAGAACTTGAGAATGATTTGATATCATCGTACGACTATAAATAGTACACTTCCTCGGACACAGACTGAATGTGATGGATTCGGTTTGCTTCCAAGCTTTGTGATCTCATCGAATCGCTTCTCCACATTTTCAGTGCAGTGCATGTGACACTCAAAGCGCCTTTCAGTTGACTCAGTAGAACCAAGTTGCTTTGAACTGCTACATTACACGGGCCGATAGTAGGGCGTGTGCTAGTCGACGATTGGAGACATGGACCGTCTAGAGATTGGCGCCATCAGAAGGTAACCGTCCGACTATGTTGTAACGCTTGCTGAAGAATGTATGCCAATCATTAAGAACCTGTTTTTCCTTCTCGGATAGTCCGGAGTAGTCCGATATGCAGTCTTCAGGCTTGAGAGAAGACAGACCGAGGGCACGGTTAGGCTCTTTCCCCGCAAACACTGGGACGATAAGTTAGTCTTCTGCGGTACAACTTGGTGCTACATCTCAGGCGACAAACCGTGATAGCCCTTCCCAGGTGCGTATGTCTCCTTGCCGCTCACATCGAACACGTCACCCTGTTGATGGTCAACTTCTTCTGCGCTTGCACGAGAAAACCATTGAAGAAAAGCAGCTATGGTTACCTTGATTGCGACAAGAGTTGGTAAACCCTCGTTTGTGCCTGCTGGTGGTCAGTGCCTGGCCACTCAAATACCAGCCAGTCGCTGCGAAGCCGTACCATCACACTTTGCAAGGTAGTCGCGTTCAATGACATCATCCTTCGGCGGGTTTAGTGCGACGGGTTGCTTTGGCGCAAACTTCTCCTTCTTCGGCTGCTCTGTAGAGTCTGACATGGTGGAGGTCTAAATATCGGTATAAATGATGCAGAATGTCGGATGGAAAGTCACGATGCTGGCCTGTCTGCTGGGCAGGTGCTCAGGTGGGGCTCCACGCCCATGCCGCGCTAGGTTAGTCGCACGAGCCTCATGTCATTTCCCGAGGTCATCACGAACTTCCTCATTGCACACGCCACGACCAACCACTCTGTGACGCCACGCGTGTCGTGATCAGGCACCACATACGTGAAGTTGATGTTCGCAGGTTTCGATACCGGCATCAACGCGCCTCTCGGAAGAGTCGTCAGTAGTTACGAGCACCATGTCTCAACTGCCCATTGGAGTCACCCGCCGTTCATATGAGGCCATATGCCTGTTACCATATATTTCGTGATATGTAGGTACAATACTGATAGTGTACAGTGAAGATCGCAGCCACAGAACATGGCGCCCAAACTTTCCACTCAGGACATTACAAGCTTTAGGATTTGCCGCAAAAGCAATTGAACAACCGCCCAGGCGTGCAAACAATCACGAAACCCCGACAAATATGATGAAAATCCGATCCGACTCTTCACTATCTTGTAGAGGCGCACCTGCTTTCTCGAGCTGATAGAAGACCATCGGTCGAAACCAGGTGGTGGCTATTGCTCGCATTGCATCCATAGAACCAATTATCTTCCGCTGGCGACGGTGTACGCTGACTGGGACGTATACACTGCTGGATCGTACTGGCTCTGTCTGACACAGTTGGTGCAGTTTGTTTCCCGTTGATCCCATGTTCTTCTAACGTTCCAAGCGCCAAAACATTGGTGGCCGGGATCGTTGCGTGCGAAATGGCAGTGCTGCATGAGTCGATACTCGTTATGGCCACACGGAAACTGGATCTTTTCGTAGAAGCACATCTCAAAGGCGCTGATGGTATGACTATCTGTCCGATCCTGTGTTCGGGAACTACGGCCATTGTCAGCTCGCTGGCCGTGGTGGAACCTGGCGAACTTACATCCAAAGCACGTGTGCGTGTCTGTCTCGTACTCGAGATCGGCGATTGTGGACACAGATTCCAGCTGGATCTTGAACAAGCTTTTGGTGTACGGAATTCCAGAAGACCGTGGAGAAAATCTGGGGAAATCTGGGGGTTGCACTTCCAAGGAGAATGTCACGAACCTTTATACGCCACCAGCCCACGTCACCGCGGTCGCCATACGCTTTTCCCCACGGTCCCTTAGCCGCCATTTCCTTTGAGTAATCTCATGGACTAGAACAATACCTTGTCGCGGTAAAGTCACACACAAAACGCGCAAGCCCTCTCAAGCCGATAGATTGCTCGCCACACTGGAGACCTTGTCCAAGCTTTACGCTCGGCGCGCACATACAGTTTTGTCGTCACAAGTCCTTTGTTACATTGCAT